TTAAATCAAATTTTGAATAGTACTTTAAATAAAAATAATGATATATTAGTAAATGCTATGTTTTATAGTAAAATGAGTTATAAGTGTATGTATTGTTTAGCAGTAGTTTGACCAGAAGAAAAAAAAAGTCTACGTGTTGTCATAAGGGAAAAGTTCGTATTAGTCCGTTAAGTAAATATAATTTAGAATTGAAAGAACTTTTACTTTTCTATCACTGAACAATACTCAATAAACAGTTGGATTTCTAATCGCTGATCCTTTGTTGCCGAAGGATGCAATACATTTATAAATAATACTGAAAAATAGATTGCTATGCTAACTGCCAATGTTTGCTGATCCCAAGATATATTTTATTAATTAACTATACTGAAATACAGTTTAGTTGCTAATTGTTGATGCTTGCTCGCCGAAGAGCATATTTTATTCATATATAACACTACTGTTAGATTGCTAATTGCTGAAGCTTTCTTGCCTAAATGCACATTCTATCAATTAATTGATGATACTGAAAAACGGTTTGGTTTCTAATCACTGATCCTTTGGCGCTTAAGGATACATTTTATTTATAAATAATTCTTAGACTATAGATTGATATACTAATTGCCAATATTTACTCGTTGCAGCTAAGTTGACGGTAAAAATAATTTTTGTGTTGAACTCGTTTACGACAATCAATTAATTTTGAATATTAACATGTACAGAAAAACAGTAGACGCACACTCCTGAATTCGTCATGTTAACCCACAAATAGTGCATTTAGTGGATTTCGATGGAAAAAATACATGACACTATTTTAAAGATTTAAATTAAGTGGCATCAGGGAAACCGTAATCTTACTAAGCAGATGACATACGAAAAATAAATAAGCAATCAGTATGTCTACACCGAAGAAGCAATATTTTTGTTGCAGCGTACCGCATCGCTCACACGTCTGTTTCATATTATTTTTAGCTTTTTCCTCCATTTTTGTGCTATGTCAGTGCAAGTTGCATTTTCAATCGATGACTTCTCCTGCCTATGTTGGTAAAAAATATCATTAAAAATCTTTCTCATTGTTTGCTTATATTTTAATAACCTGCAAATATACCTTGTTAAATATTTAAATGCACCTATTACATACTTACACTTTTCATCTTGCCCAGACTTACAACTACATGTACAATCTAAATGTTTATTATTTTCTCTTGAATTTATGGTGATATTAAATTCGTGGAGAATACCAAACAAGTCATTCGATTGTTACCACACACGCACATCATATTTCTTTTTATTTCAGTTTCCTGTGTTATCCTGCAGTACAAAATGTGATTGGCATTTGCCACGTTTTCTTATTTTACGTATCTTCACTTTCCTTCTTCTGCGTAGTTCAATATATCAATAAAACTAATTAAATAAGTCATGCTTACTATTTTAATGGGCTACATTTAAACTGATATCTAGATTTAGGTTTTAGTTTCTCTAAACATCCGCTAGATATGCTTTTTGTGGATTAACATGACGCATCTAAGCATGACGTTTAAGCTTAAACTAACACCTGATTTTTTGGAGTTTTCATTCGTACTCCCAAAATTAGCTCTTACTAATCGTGTGCTTAGGCACTGAACCTCAAGTCATCATGGAAACAACTGAGATCAGAACGACATGTTCAACAAACGATATAATCCAACATCTGATTTTTCATTTTTTGCCTTATATTTTTAATTAGTTTTGTCAAGTTTGGGCTTAATTTGTTCTTTAACGTGTCAAGAATGGGCGTCCACTAATTTTTTAAGTTAAATGATTTTTTAAAACCAAGAATATAGTATATTTTAGCTGAGCAGCTTTCCTATACACCATTAAATATTTATTTATCATTAATTTATTACTTTTTTTACTAAATTTTACTAAATATACAATTTTTTCATTTTAAAAATTTAAAAAAAAAATTTTTTTTGTCTTCTGTAAATACATTAATTAATACTTATTGGGTTTTATTCTTCCATAATTTTGTATTCGTGGTTAAGGTAATTTTATGACTTAAGGATGTTTACCACAGTTACTGGAGGAAAGTTCAGAGAAGTGAAAGGCGTGCTAATATATGCAGCAACGCTGATAATTATTTTTTTTATACAGACGTACTTACATACACGCTTTTACGCATACTCGACCTCCTCTTTGTTGTGTTATTAAATAAAAAGCAAGTAGTTGATCTATTTACAAATTCAATTGGTTTATCTAAAAGTAATCTTTCATACAATTCAAATAGGGAGATCCATATAGACCATAAAAATGCAGTTTTACGTGACTTTTCTATAAGTTTACGTGTTAAATTGCGATTTTGTAAATTTATATCCTTAAAAAAGGGTACAGTTGGACGATCTGCAATTTTTTGGGGGGTATTTTTTATGCTCGTTCGAATATTCGTTTGGTGTTCAAAGAATATCTGTCAAAAAAACCCATATGTGATAAACGTCCTAGGGACATTCACTAACATGTAATACTACCCTATAAAGAAATCGGCACTACAGCATGGTTTCTTCTAAACTATAAGATACAAATATATTTTAGGTATTAAATATGGACTAGGAATTGTGACAGATGTGAACTTGACGTTAGAGATGTAATCAGCGTAGGTGGTAGGAATTTGTTTTGAAATTATCGAATGATTCGATCAAAGTGCACAGTCTTGTATTGACCAACCTACATTTTGTTTATGTTGAACTGTGCCGTAATGTATTGCTTATAATCGTTAGTTGATGAAATATTAAAATATTAATTGAAACCGTACCCAATTAACGCAGTTATACTCATTTCAACGATAATTGATCTACCTTCGTATACACAGTATCGTTTCATAGAAGGTATATTCATATATGCATAATTATATTGTCTACCGTATAATTTAATAGTAGTTTAACTTTATACTTAGTACCCAAGTATCAACTGTCCACTGGTTTTTTTTTCTTTTATCAATGATAAGTCCAATAATTGATTTTTTTAATGCAGAAAAATATGCGGTGCGTGAGTCAAATTACCTATATTCACTAAAATTGCGATAAAATAATAAAGCATATATTTGATATTACATTAGATTCTAGGAAATTGTTATAGTACTATCGACAGTAAACTTGTTATACATTTTTATTTCCGGTAGGATGATAGAGCAAATTACCAAAAAACTTAAAACATGTATTTTTCGTAGTGTCTATTGGCACCAAAACGCACCGTATATCTATATAATTACGTGGATATAGTGGATACGCATGCGCAGTGGGCAACTCTACTGTCCGGTACTTATAGGGTCCAAGTTTATTTTTTTTTCCGAGTGAGCGAGGCGCATGCGCGTACGTGGATATAAGGTGCGAATAGACACAGCGTTTTTTAATTAAATTTCAACAATAAACTGTGAAATTTATAGTTTATTATAATATAGAGTTACGTCAGTGCGTAGTGAAGTAATTACCACTCTACTTTGTTAATGAAAAACACTTAACACGCTCTATTCTTGTTATTTTTTGGTTGGGTACAAAAAATTATGTTTCTGGCAATTTTATTAGTCTACCTGACGAATAACCTAATATATTATGTTTGTATTTTCTCCATAAGATAGCATCAATCGCGTCTAGTATAAGTATTGTACATTTAAATGGATTGTGACGTAAACTATAGACATGAGTTCTACGAATCGTTATAAATGTTACGTTTAAATATCACAGCACTTAATAATTTTTAAGTCATAAAAACATAATTTTTTTATTAGGTAACAACACTTGTTCCATTACCACCTGGTTGGGAAGAAAGACAAGATGCGAACGGAAGAACCTATTACGTTAATCATATTGCTCGTTTTACGCAATGGGAACGACCCACTGTTTCGTAAGTTATACGAAGATATTTTTTCAATTAAAAAGTTATAGATTAATTTAATAAGAAATCATTTTACAGAAACAACACACCTAGTGGAGAGACTCAAGAGCAGCGAAACTTAAATACAGCCACAACAGAATTTCAAAGACGATTCCACATTAGTGCTGATGATTCCGAAAGTCAACAAAGGTCTTCTGGTATCAGTATCACACCCGTAAGATAATTAATTCAAGCCTTTTATTTATTGTACTATACGTAGGCAATTTTATGAAGAATACAGAATACTTATAGAAAGGTGCATATATACAAGGATTGTTTCATAATTTCAAACAAATGAAACTCCTATGTAATCTCAATAAGCTAAAAATTTTGAGGCCCACATTTTTTTCATGTTAAAAAAAATGTCACGTTAATTTAAATGAATTTTTTTAACATGAAAATTGAATTACACTAATGATAGTTGCTGCAACAACACCATGTTTATAAAACTGATCATATCATTCTAAATCAAAATTTAGTTCGTCATTGAGTATAAAGCCCCATGCGCGTAGACACTTGTATCGCGTCATTGCAGAATACTAAATTATAGAAGTTACAAAATAATATAAGGTAGTGTAACTCTTATTTATGAATGATATAAACAAAGTTTATGCTTGTTTTTGGCATGGTGTATGTAGCACTTTAAAAATATGTCTCATAAAGACCGGATAAAAGTAAAAAAAACAGTATTCTGTCACGAAGTCAAACATGCTTTTCCTCTTATAAATTTTGTACACTTAAGGTAAATCTTTTGCAGTTAAAAAAAAAATTGTTATTTTATGAAAAAAATTACATTAATTATTTAATAATTAATCATTAACTAAGATATTAAATTCAATAGTTCTATCAGTCTTAAGATGGTGCAATGTTTACGCAAATGGGGTATTTACTCATTATTATGTATTATTCCCTATACATACGCGATATTAAACCAAGGTGGAGAAGCTTATAACGTAATGACCAATATGACTATGAGATTACTAATGGCTACTACTTGTTTCAACGAGATAGTCTATATTTATGATTATGCTATTACTAGCTACATTTATATTTAAGGTTCTAAGATAATATCTACTAGGTATTTCGATATTTTTACCATAGGAAATGATCTCATTTGGTTTTATAAGAGTGGGTCACGTGACCCCATATTCGCATTACCTGTGTGAAGTTTAAAACAGTCAAAGTTTTTGGTTACCAATATAGGTTGGAAATAAATCAATGGCTATGATATAAAACAACAATTTTTTCCTAAAAAGATCTTACATGAACCAAGTACACAAAGCGAAAAAAAGTTGGTACATTACGTCATTAGAGCACAAAGTACAAACATAGGCGCCAGAAGGATGTTTTAAGTCACGTATAATGTTTTTCTTACCGAGGGCACAAAGTGCAATTTTACGTCTGTGGGCACACTTTGTGCCCAGTAAATCACTTTGAGCCTCTGGGCAGACGATTGCATAAGCAAAAATATGTTTGATCATTAAATATTAGGGTACGTTTTCTTTTTGTGGTTGATCGATCGGTCAGTCGGTTGGTCCCATTCCATTAAAAAGTATATCTATATATACTAAATATGTAGATTTACATGCTGGAGGAATCGGAACGACCGATCAACTGACAAGTAACAAAAAAAACGTATCCTGTATCTTTCAGATTGCTTCTCCAACCACCCCAATAGTGTTTATTTTCACATGTAACAATCTGATTAGTAAAGGATCTTTTAAAATTCCATAATCATAAGTGGTTTATTTTTAATTACTATGTATATACTAGTTACATGCTCGTTTTTACTAGTTCTTTTGTAATGTATTGAATATTTAAAAGAATTTTTGACTTTCTCGTACATGTAAATCGGTCATTTAATTAATACAGTTAGCAGAATCCGGTTTGTCAATAAATGTAATGGAAACCGCATTACGTACACATTATAATTTTGGCCGTTATTGACCGTTTGTTAATAAACTGGATGGACAGATAAAGGTTCGAATGTATACATCAGCCCTTATTAAGGTGGTTTGAGTATTTTTTATTGGAATAATGGAAATGTGAAATACAAGTCATATCTTCTTAAAAACATAGGGTTAATCACCTCAGTTAATAGAAAATCGGGAAAAAGCATAAAACATTTATTTTTCTCCTCACCGCTTGAACTATTTTTATAAGTATGCATGCGCCAGATACTTACCTTACATACTAGGGCTGTGTTCTCTAAGGCTTGGTTATTTGAGCCAATTAAAGTCACATAATCATTTACCATGAGTGTGAGAGAGAGAACTCAATGTCGTAGTTTCCCTCGCATTCATAGTAAATTATCACGTGACTTTAACTGACATAACTCACCGAGCCTTTCGCGAACATAGCCTGGGTGACTCAAAGAAAATATATTAATATAAAAAATTACAGTTTACGGCACTTTTCTGGCAATTTCTTAATCGTGTTCATAGTTTTTGTTAGACTTAGTGTATTTGCTAACAAGTTTACCGTCGAAAAGCGCTTATAAGAGCTCTTATGATATCCTACTCTATGTCTGATCCTATTCTATTGAAAAAATTGCTTATTCTATTCAACCCACAAGACAGATCATCAAAAAATATTTGACATGTACTTTTTTTTACAGACAGATTTTTTAAATTAAAGAATTTTTGTACTACAATGTTTTTCAGTATTTTTCCTAAAGATTTGCATCTACAACAGAAATTAGAATCGATTTTTAAAAGCAATTTAGAGCAATCGCATTTCGTTGTCACAAAGATCTTGGATACTTTTTTTTATAGATATAGGTGATTTTGGGTGTGTAGTTCTTTCATTCTGCTTATCGATATATCTTTATTTATCGTCAGCAAAGTTTTGTATTTATTGATCTCAACTGCTGTTATTACTTGCTGCTATCTGCTGAATTGTTGCACCTGCAGGTGCATCCTTCTCTGGATTCTTCTTGGCAAGTGTAAGGGCTTCTTAAGTGCTATCCTGCCTTCCGTGATCTTTTTGTCCCAGGTGTTTTCAGATTTTGTAGAGATTGGAATTTTCCTTCTGCATCATCCCCTGTTACTGTTGAAACGTTGCCACCGCCACCGGTCTGTCAAGGACACTACATTAGTGACTCTATAACATTGGAGGAAATAAAGTTTTTTATTGCTGACTAAAAATTCGATACTTTAAAAAATTACTCAAATGAACAACAAATAAGGCATCAGTAATAGTTAACTCTCAGCCAGTATAGAGACGCTTAATAGAAGTATACATTCAAATACGTAAATTCAAATAGTATAATTTAGTTATTATTGTTATCGTACGACTGTGCGAGTGTGCTTTTAGTATCCACGTAGCGTTCTGCCGTGCTTGTCATGATGACAGTCCACACGTTTTTTGAATGAGGTATGTATGGTGTAAAGCTCATACCAAAGGGTCCAGGGCCCGCCTGTTCTAAAATAAGTATGTATTAGTGTATCTGTAAATCTGTGAGTGTAGAGAAGCGCGTGTGTGTCAAGCATCGACACTGTTGGTAACGTCAGCAATCAACGTTATCTTACTAAGATATAAAGTAAAGTCGCTAAAATCGTTGTAATCGCTAACCCCAAAAACCACTTAACCGATTTTGCTGATATTTTGCATACCCATTCTTAACACTTCCTAGATGGTTTTAGTATGATTTTAATCTTGAAAAAATTAATAACAGAAGCAATAAATAAGCTCAAAGTTTTGCAAAAATACGCTAGCTTTGTGCTTTAGTTCAGTTAAATCCGCTAGGTGGCGCCGAAGTAAAATCGAAGCAACCTGCAATTAAATAAAATAAGTGTGGTTATAATAGGCCCGAGCAAAACCTAAGACACAGTTGTTTACCGACAGTACATATCGATGCCCCTGGTGAAGACTATGCCCTTCTTCGAAGCCTGGACGAAGACTATGCCTTTTTCCGCAGTCCGGACGAAAACTATGCCCTTTTGTCTGTTCCAGGCGATAACTATGCCCTTTTAGAATCCCGGGCGAAGACTATGCCCTTTTCTGGAGTCTGGACAAAAATTATGCCCTTGTGTATGTTCTAGACGAAAACTATGCCCTTTTGGAGTCCCAGACGAAGACTATGCCCTTTTCTCGCGCTCGGATGAAAACTATGCCCTTTTCTAGAGTCCGCACGAAAACTATGCCCTTTTTTTCTAGTCCGTGTGAAGACTATTACATTTTTTCCGAGTCTGGACGAAGAAATTGACTTTTTCTGGAGGATGAAGTACGATTCATTTAAGCTCGCCTTACATTTGTGTCTGTAATTAGATATATAGTCAAATATACTTATGTAATGGTTGTTGCTTACATTTATATAAATAATTGTGAATAATAATACAAACTCAGGAATGTTTTTATAAGCGTTGTAACTGTACAAGTTGCTTTACGCAGAAAGAAAGACGAACACTTTTAAGAAAAAAGGTAATTTATTCGATTAAGTGAGGATTAAGGGGTAGTTGACAGTAAGGCTTCCGTCGTGAAAGTGATGGTTTTGCTCTCCTTCGTTTTAAACTACAAAACAAGTTGCCATAGCAACGACTACTCAAAAATAAAATAATAACGCTTATGTTCGAATGTCTCGTGATGACCGTCCACGAGAGGGAAAGAAACCTCCTCTTCACCCTTACCCCTCTCGTCCCGTAAATTCACTGACAGAATACTTCTGTAGTGTCAAATCGGCCCTGAACGACACCTCCTCTTCCGTCGTCAGGCACGCAAACATCGACACAACGATCGTATCAACGACCGCTATGCTTGAGACATTCGACGAAGCACTTCCTTTTACAGAAAAAAACTAAACACTTTCTTATTAAAGAGAAGGAGAGGAAGAATTTCCAATTAGTTGCTTAGATTAGCCGACCCTGTCGGGAACATCCTACCCACCGTACAAAACACCTGGATTTTGTACCTCTGAAAACCGTACTAACTTCCTCGTTGGTCTCAGAAAAACACCTATTGAAGTTCGTACTTCTACGACAGGAACTTGACTATTAGCGCCAGGTAGCACACGAACAATTACCCCTTCACGCCATTGATTCCGCTCCACATTTTTATCAAGAATTGAAACAAGATCACCTGTTTTTAAAGGTTTCTCCTCCTTTAACCACTTTTTCCTCGGAATCAATGTAGGCAAATACTCGCATGACCACCTGCGCCAAAAATGATCTACAAAATGCTGTGCTA